CTCTAGTCTCTCTTCTCTGTCTCTCTCTCTCTCTCTCTCTGCTGCGTTCGAGTAAAATGCGAAGGAACGTCACGAGCGATTTGTTGATCCTCGTGGATACATCTTTATTAGCTTTTTTATTGCGTTTGGTTGTTTTTCTCTTCTTTTTTCGTTTTTTTCGATTTGTTCTTTGTGGTTTGCTTTCTTTTTTCGGTGTTTTCTTCTTTTCTTCACCTCCTTTATCTTCCTTTCCCTCCTCTGCCCCTCTTCCCTCATCATCTCTCTTCTGCCTGCCCCATATTCGAAAACCAGTCGCTTCTCTCTCTCGCTCCTTCCATATTGGTTTGTTCTTCCTATTCTACTTCTTTTATATTTTCATCATCTTCAGCTCTTCATTTTTATCTTCCTTCTCCATCTTCTCTTCCTTTCTTTCCTTCCCCCCTCTCCCCTTCCCTTTCTTCCCTCCCCTACAGCTCTCCTCGCCTCCGCTCCTTTCCCTTTCCATTTTCTCCCCGCCTCCCCCTCCCCAACATCTCCCTTCCTCTCCCCAACATCTCCCTTCCTCTCCCCCTCCCTCAACATCTCCCTTCCTCCCCCCCCTCCCCTCCCCAACATCTCCCTTCCTCTCCCCCCTCCCCCCTCCCCTCCCCAACATCTCCCTCCTTCCCTCCCCCTCCCCCTCCCCAACATCTCCCTTCCTCTCCCCCCCAAACATCTCCCTCCCTCTCCCCCTCCCAACCATTCCCTTCTCTCCCCCTCCCCCTCCCCAACTCTCCCTCCTCTCCCCCTCCCCCTCCCCAACATCTCCCTTCCTTCCCCCTCCACACATCTCCTTCCTCCCTCCCCATCCCTTCTCCCCCCGTCCCCCTCCCCTCCCCTCTCAACATCTCCCCTTCCTTTCCCCCTCCCCCCCCCTCCTCCCCTGCCCTAAATCCGAAAGAAAACCCGTCCTTCTCCTCCTCCTCCCTGGCGTCGTCTCCATGCCGCTGGTCGGCGTCGCGTGGCCAGGGAAGGATGTCGCTTTTGGTGTTCGTTTCGGCTGTTGGCGACGACGGCGACGAGACGACGGCGACGACCGCTGGAGAAGGATGATGAGGGGTGGGTTATGAGGGGTGGGAGGGGTGGAGGTGAGGAGTGGAGGGTGAGGGTGGAGGTGAGGGGTGGATGATGTGGTAGGTGTGGGTGGAAGGGGTGGATGTGAGGGAAGGATGGTGAGGTGTGATGACGAGGATGGAGGGGTGGGATGATGGGGTGGGTATGAGGGGGGTGGGTGATGGGTGGAGGGTGGGGTGATGATGAGGGATGGAGGGATGAGGGATGGATGATGAGAGGGTGGATGGTGATGGATGATGAGGGTGGATGGTGATGGATGATGGGGTGGATGGTGAGGGGTGTATTATGAGGGGGATGGTGAGGGAAGGATGGTGATGGGGGTGGATGATGTGGGTGGATGATTGTGGGGTGGATGGTGAGGGTGTGGATATGAATGATGATGGTGGGGGTGAGGGTGAGGGTGGATGATGGATGGATGGTGAGGGTGGCAGGGTGAGGGGAGGATGGTGATGGATGGAGGTATGGGGGATGGTGAGGGAAGGATGGTGTGGATGATGGGGGGTGGATGTGATGGTGTGGATGAGGGTGGATGGTGATGGATGGATGGGGGGTGGATGTTGATGGATGATGGGGGTGGATGATCATGGGATGTGAGGGTGGATGATGATGGGTGACGTCTTGTGTGAGAAATCTTGATCGGGAATGATGTCTTTCTCTTTCTCTCTCGCCTGGTCTCGGGGAATGTCGTGGAGGTAAATGGGGGCGGAGAGTGCTGTCTGGAGATTCGCGGTGGGCTTTGATTGGCGTGGATTCTCTGGCTGTCTCTTCCCTGTCTTGTGCTTCGCTTTTTTTTGTCTTGTCTTTGTCTCTTTCTCTCTGCGCTGTGGTGATATGTTCTCTCTGTCTCCCTTGCTCTCCGATTCTGTCTTTGACTCTTCTTGGCGCTCTCTCTCTGTCTCTCTTTCTCTGTCGCTCTCTCTCTCTCGCTCTTTCTCTCTCTGTCGCTCTCTCTCTCTCTCTCTTCCTCTCTTCTTCTCTCTCTCTCTCTCTCTCTCTCCTCTCTCTCTTCTCTCTCTCTCCTCTCTCATTCTCTCTCTCTCTCTCTCTCTCTCCCTCTCCCTCTCCTCTCCCTCTCCCTCTCCCTCTCCCTCTTCCCTCTCCCTCTCCCTCTCCCTCTCCCTCTCCCTCTCCCTCTCCCTCTCCCTCTCACTCTCCTCTCCCTCCCCCCACTCCCCCACTCCCTCTCTCTCTCGGCCTTTTCTTTCTTCCTTCATTCTTTACACACACACAATCACTTAGTTTTT